CAGATGAACATGACATAATTGCATGAAGGATTTTACATTTTTTTATAAAGAACTTAAAAAAAGTTGTATCTTCACATTTTCTTCTTCAAAATTATCTTATATTTTTATAATCTTTAGGAAATTGTTGAATGTAGAGTTGACCAAAATTGAATACATGTCTAGTCCCTGCAATTCAAGAGTTGTGTGGCTTTAAGCAAACAATTTAAGTTCCCTGAGATAGTTTCCCATCTGCTAAAAAAGGATGGTAATATCTACTCCACAGAGGTTTTAACAAGATTAGCTTATACTCTGCATATAATCATTCTTAGACAATTATATAAACGCTGACTAAATGTTGGCTTCTTATTTTAATCCCTCATTCCCTTAACAGAGTAGGGTTTTGTTAGATTTGAATTTCTGTCTATGAAATATGCAGACCTGGGAACAAGGTGTGTGGTAACAGAGAAAAGAGCCAGGAATGAGTCATGAGGCCTTCCCAGCAAGATACTGTCTGTGTTTTGTTAAAAGATACACAGTATGATCTGAGCATAAAATGATTTTTGATAGTTCTGGTAATTCCTTTGTGTAATTTGTCTGTAGGGAAGTTGTAATAGTCATACCTTTGTTGAGTCAGAGTCACCAAGTAGTGCAAATAGTTAACATGCACTGCTGCTAAGTGAAATGTTTGAGGTTTGAGTTCAGAAGGATTGAGGTTTGAGGTGGTTCAAAAGAAAGGTCAGATGATCTACTTCCAAAAATAAACCATTAAAAACCCAAGAAAGCACAGTTTTACTCTGAAAACATGGAGTTACCATGAGTTGCAGGTGACTCTATGGTAATTGGTTTTGGTTAGTAATTGTTGTTGTTGCTGTCAGGTGCCATCAAGTTAGTACTGACTCATAGAGACCCTATGCACAACAGAATGAAATCCTGCCCAGTCCTGGATCAACCTCACAATTGCTGCCATTCTTGAGCCCATTGATGCTGCCACTTTGCCATCTCGTTGGGGGTCTTCCTCTTTTTCTCTGACACCCCACCTTACCAAACATGATATCCTTCTCCAGTGACTGGTCCATCCTGACAATATGTCTGAAGTATAATAGATGAAGTTTAGCTATTCTGGCCTCCAAGGAGCACTCTGGCTGATCTTCTTCCAACACAGATCTGTTTGTTCTTTTGGTAGCCCACGGTACTTTCAATATTCTCCTCCAACACCATAACTCAAAAGCATCAATTCCTCTATGGTCTTCCATATTCACTGTCCAGCTTTTGCATGCATATGAGGTTAGTACTACGTAGGGTGAAATAAAACCTGGAATTAATAACATGCCTGTTTCATTGCCAGAGATTAACATGCATCATCTGTGATTTTTACCAAAGGAAAATTCTGCCCAGCAGAAAACTATTAATGTCATCAGCTAAGGAGTCAGTGACATGGTGGCATGATTGGCAGAAGCAGAATTACTGGAGTCCTTCTTCCCTGAGCACCTGTAAGAATGTTCCCTCTGACATCTTCTTTAGATAGAGAGGCTAGTTTCTGATAACATCATCACAGGCTTAAATTGACCTGGTTGGATTACAAATGCTATGCAAAATATTTACCACATAATGTACTCGATGTGACAGTTTCCTCCTCTTTCTTTTATAGCAAGATCCCTGCATGGCACAAGTGATTTGTGATAAGATATTAAAGATCAGTAGTTTAAACCCACCCAGTAATCCCAAAGAAGAAAATCTTGGTGATGTACTTCTGTAAAGATTATAAACAAGATTATTAAATGTTATTAATAATAAAAAAGTTATTATTCCATTTTGTAACACAAGTGGTCACCGTGAATCAGAATTTACTTGATGGCAGTGTGTTAGTCTTTGATTTTCTCACTCCAAAAAGAAAGTGAGTAGATTTAGCATCTTATATGGCTCTGATATTTAGATACATGCCCTGCATCTGATTCTGTTCTATCAGATTATTGGCCTGACTCATATGGTATAGTGGTCACATAGAATGAATTGTCTAGATTGGAGTGGTGATAGGGATTAGGACTTTGCTGTTGTTGGATTGTTCTACAGCCCAATGTAAAAGTCTCTACTTGAGCTCCAAAATAGCTTCTATGTTGCTGCTAATTGAAATGAAGTCAACTATATTCATGATGACCCCATGTACAACAGAACAAAATATTGACTAATCTGGCACCTTATTCCTAATCACTGTAACACTGAAAATGATTGTTGATGCCATCATGTAGTGCCTTCTAACTTTTTGTTGTTAAGTGCCATTGAGTCAGTCCCAACTCACATCAACCCTATGTATGATTTCTAAGCAGCAGCTGGTAGGAAACTGACCTTGCCGCACAGTGCTTATCCTATGGCCCTACACCAGGACTTAACCTCCTATTTTAGGGGCCTCATTTTTTCACACTACCTAAGACAATATTCTGTTGTAATACAAAAGGTTTTCACTAGACAGGTTCACTATATTTCAGGCCTTTCTGTCTTAGCCTGGAAGCTCTGCTGAAACCTGTCCACCAATTCACTAGATCCTACTGTAGTACTTGGTTGTAATGTGTATATTGCAAAAGCAATAAACTATGTGGTGATTAAACATGAAATGTTTTACATTGTTTTCAAGACCTGGTTTTCAAGGCATTCCACTGAAAATCATATGCCTGTAAGGAAAGCTGTTATTCTCTTAGTAGTGGAGAGCAATGAGTGATTTCCTTTTGCTCTGTGCTTGTCATAGGTAATATCCTAAATGGTAAACTGCTCAATGTCTGCTTATTGACTTTATGTATGTGATTTCTGCATGAGTTGTCTCTGCTATATTCAAAATTATCTGTTATTCAACAGCTTATTTCTCACCATGCACCATTGGACTGTCAATTTTTCATACTGTGGTGGCTTTCATATTTCTGTAATGCTGAAAAATGTGCCACCAATATTTGACATACCAATAGGGTCAATCATGTTATACAGTTTTCAGAGGAGCTTCCAGACTAAGACAGATTACGAAGAAGGAGAGGTAAACAATTTCTGAATGCTTACCTACTGAAAACTACATATATAACAGAGAAAAATTGTTAGATAGAGTACCAGAAGATAAAAAGCTTATGAACAGCAGTAGAACATTGTCACATATAGTGATGGAAGAAGAGCCCCCCAGGTTAAAAGGCACTGATAATATAACTGGAAAAGTGTGGCCTCCTGAATGTAGAGTTGACCATAACGATGTGAATGGAGTAAATCATTTGGGACCTTCATAGGCTGATGGGGCACCACTAAAAATGAGGAGAAACAGCTGCAAACATACATTAATAATCATAACATGGACTATACAAAGTATGAATCTAGGAAAATTGGAAATTGTCAAAAGTGAAATGGAACACATAAAGATCAACTGAGACAGACAGGTATTGGCCATTTGAATCTGAAATCCTTTCATTCAAAAATTGACATTTATTACTGCTGCAGTCAGATTTCTCCACTGATGGGTGTTGAAAACTGATGCCCCCCACTTTATATAAGATCCAAAGTTCTAAAACTCTTCTGGCAAAGTGACGTCTCTGGTTTTTAGCACCTGCACTGAGAAGCCTCCACTGCCTGTCTTCACTTCTCCTGCCCCCAAACTAGAAGTCCCTGCTATGAGTATTTTAAATACCAGCAGGGTCACCCACCATGGACAGGTTTTAGATATGCTTCCAGATGAAGACAGACTAGGAAGGAGAGACTTACTACTTCTGAAAAAAACCTTTATGGCTAGCAGAGGAACACTGTCAGCACAAGAATATTGAGTACAGACACTTCATGAATACTACCAGAATATTGCCAGATATAATGTCAGAAGATGAGTCCTACAGGTTGGAAGGCACAAAAATACAACTTGGGAAGAGCTCTCTCCTCAGAATAGAGTTGACCATGATGACATGAATGGAGTAAAGCCTTTAGGAACTTCAGTTGCTGTTGGAGCAAACTCAAAATGAAGTGAAACAGCTGTAAACATCAATTAATAATAGGAATATGGGATGTACAGAGTATGATTCTATGAAAATTGGAAATTATCAGAAATGAAAAGGAAAGCATAAACATCGATATCCTAGCATTAGCTAGCTGAAATGGACCAGTATTGGCAATTTAGAATCTGACAACCACATGATTTACTGTTCCGGAAATGGCAAATTGAAGCAGAATGGTGTTGCTTTCATGATCAAAAAGAACATATCAAAGATCTGTCTAGAAGTACAATGCTATCTGTGATAAGATATCATCTACATGCCAACAAGAAAGACCATTTAATACCACTATTATTCAAATTTATGAATCACACACCAAAGTCAGTAGTAATAACATTGAAGAATTTTACCATCTTCTTCAGTCTGAAATCGATTAAACATACAATCTAAATGTATTGATAATTACTGGCAATTGCAAGGCAAATGTTGGAAACAAAGAGGAAGGATCAGTATTTGGAAAATATGGCTTTGGTGATAGAAATGATGCTGAATATTGTACGATACAATTTTGCAAGAACAATGATTTCATCACAAATACGTTTTTAAATCAACATAAAAGATGACTATACACATACATGTACATCACCAGATAGATACACAGAAATCAAACTGACTACACATGTATAAAGAGATGGTTTAAAAGCTCCATAACATCACCCATAACAAGACCAGGAGCAGACTGTGGAACAGATTACCAATTGCTCATATGCAATTTCAGCTGAAGAAAGTTAAAACAAGTTCACAAGAGCCAATATGATCTTGAATATATCCCTCCTGAATTTAGAGATCATCTGAAGAATAGATCTGATGCATTAGACAATGAAGACCAGAAGAGTTGTGGGATGACATCTAGAACATCATACAGGAAGAAAACAAAAGGTCATTAAGAAGACAAGAAGCAAGGAAAACACCAAAATGGATGTCAGAAGAGAGTTTAAAACTTGCACTCCAGCATAGAGATGCTAAAGCAAATGGAAGAAATGAGGAGGTAAAAGAGCTGAACAGGCGCACCAGTATCACCGTACACCCGGCCTCCATGATGCTGCGGGCCTGTCAGTTATCGGGTGTGACCGCTGCCGCTCAGAGTTGTCTGTGTGGAAAGTTTGTCCTTCATCCACTGCGACCATGCCGTAGATACTCTACATCAAGCAGATCTGGTGTGACTGCTGGCAAAATTGTTGGAACTGGCCTTTTGTTTGTTGGTGGAGGTGTTGGTGGCATTATCCTGTATGCCAAATTGGATTCCCATTTCCGAGAAAGTGTAGAGAAGACCATACCTTACTCTGACAAACTCTTTGAAATGATTCTTGGTTCTGCACCTTATGATGTTCCATTGCCAAAGAAGCCGATTCATTCTGGTCCACTAAAAATCTCTAGTGTATCCGAGGCAATGAAAGGATCTAATCAACCTGCCTCATACCTCCAGAAACAAAAGGGAGACACTCCAACTTCAGCAACAGCAGGTGATACACTGTCGGTCCCAACTCCTGCGGTTCAGCATCAAGAACCCAAAAATCTGATCTCCATGAAGGAAACCCACACCTGCAACTACAGAGGAAGCATCCTCATCTTCTGTAAGAGAACGACCACCTGAAGAAGTTGTAGCTCGCCTTGCACAACAGGAAAAACAAGAACAAGTTAAAATTGAGTCTATAGCCAAGGACTTAGAAGATGCACTAAGTCAAACTGCTCGCACCACTCTCCAGGCAATCGCAGCTCAGACTGCTGCAGTCCAGGCCGTGAACGCACACTCCAGTATACTGAAAGCAGCAATGGACAATGTTGAGATTGCAGGGGAGAAGAAGTCAGCTCAGTGGCGCACAGTGGAGGGTGCATTGAAGGAACGCAGAAAGGCAGTAGATGAAGCCAAAGAAGAGTTAGAGAAGATGAAAAGTGTAATTGAAAATGCCAAGAAAAAGGAAATTGCTGGGGCCAAACCTCATATAACTGCGGCAGAAGGGAAACTGCACAACATGATCGTTGATCTTGATAATGTGGTCCAAAAGGTCCAAGCAGTTCAGTCTGAAGCTAAGGTTGTATCTCAGTATCATGAACTGGTGGTCCAAGGTCGGGATGACTTCAAGCGAGAACTGGACAGTATTACTCCAGAAGTTCTGCCTGGGTGGAAAGGGATGAGTATTTCTGATCTAGCTGACAAGCTGTCTACTGATGATCTGAACTCCCTGATTGCTCATGCCCATCACCGTATTGACCAGCTAAACAGAGAGCTAGCAGAACAGAAAGCTACGGAGAAGCAGCACATTGCATTAGCCTTGGAAAAACAAAAGCTGGAAGAAAAGCAGGCATTTGACTCTGCGATGGCCAAAGCATTAGAACATCACAGAAGTGAAATAGTGTCTGAACAGGACAGAAAGGTAGATGAAGTTCGAGATGCCATGGAAATTGAAACGAGAACACAGCTCCGTCGACAGGCTGCTGCCCACACAGATCACTTACGTGATGCCCTTAGGGTCCAAGAACAGGAACTGAAATATGAACTTGAGAAGGCCATGTCTGAGAAACTTGCCGAAAAAGAATTAGAATTTCGTCGTCTCAGTCAAGAGCAAGTTGACAACTTTACTCTAGATATAAACACAGCCTATGCCAGACTGAGAGGAATTGAACAGGCTGTTCAGAGTCATGCAGTTGCTGAAGAGGAGGCCAGAAAAGCCCACCAACTATGGCTTTTGGTTGAGGCCTTAAAGTACAGCATGAAGACAGCATCTGCAGATCTGCCCACTGTGCCACTGGGCAGTGCAGTCGAGGCCATCAAAGTCATCTGTTCTGATAATGAATTTGTCCAGGCTCTAACCGCAGCTATACCTCCAGAGTCCCTGACCCGTGGGGTGTACAGTGAAGAGACCCTTAGAGCCTGTTTCTATGCTGTCCAAAAACCGGCCCGAAGAGTAGCGATGATCGATGAAACCAGAAATAGCTTGTACCAGTACTTCCTCTCCTACCTGCAGTCCCTGCTCTTATTCCCACCTAAGCAGCTGAAGCCGCCACCGGAGCTCTGCGCTGAGGTTATGAGCACATTTAAGTTATTGTCGTATGCCTCCTATTGCATTGAGCATGGCGATCTGGAGCTGGCAGCAAAGTTTGTCAATCAGCTGAAAGGGGAGTCCAGACGAGTAGCACAGGACTGGCTGCACGAAGCCCGAATGACCCTAGAAAGGAAACAGATAGTGGAGATCCTGACCGCATATGCCAGTGCCGTAGGTATAGGAACCACTCAAGTGCAGCAAGAGTAAGATCTAGGAAGAGTTTCTGTCAAGTCCTATTTCATGTCAAGGGAAATGAGCAGGGATATGTATATGAGAGATGTGCAGCAGAGACCCCAGAACTGTCTAGAAAGGAACAGGTGAGTGAGAGATCCTGTTGCAGTGGTACCATTCCCACATGCTGTCATGGTAGTGGGCTCCAAGAGTGCTTTCTTTGCAACTTGTGTAACATTTTCCGTTGTTCAGATTCCACTGATTGGGCTTGTGAGTCAATCAAAATCATGTTTGTGATCCATCCCTACTGCTATTGATTCTTGCCCTTGGAGCAAACTGAATAAAGCAACAAGATGAAAACTGTAAAAAAAAAAAAAAAAAAAAAAAATAAAAAAAAAAAAAAAAAAAAAAAAAAAGAGAGAGCTGAACAGAAATTTTCTAAGAGCTACTTGAGAAGACAAAGTCAAATATTGTAATGAAATGTGCAAAGATCTGAAGTTAGAAAGCCAAAAGGGAGAACACACTGAGAATTTCTCTAGCTGAAAGAACTAGGGAAAAAATCAGATCTCAAACTGCAATATTGAAGGATTCTTTGGGCAAAACATTGAATGATGCAGAAACCATCAAAAGAAGATGGAAAGAATATACCAAGTCACTGCACCAAAAAGAAATGGTCGATGTTCAACCATTTCAAGAGGTAGCATATGATCAAGAGCTAATGGTATTGAAGGAAGAAGTTCAGTGTGCACTGAAGAAATTGGTAAAGAACAAGGCTCTGAGAATTGGTGGAATACAAACAGAAATTTTTGAACAAATTGATGGGGCACTGGAGGAACTCACTCATCTATGCCAAGAAATTTGGAAGATAGCTACCTCACCAACTGTTTGGAAGATATCCATATTTGTGCATATTCCAAAGAGAGGTGACCCAACAGAATGCAGAAATAATCTGACTTTATCATTAATATCACATATAAGTAAAAATTTGCTAAAGATAATTAAAAAATGGCTGCAAGAATGCATTGACTGGGAACTGCCAGAGGTTCAAGTTGAATTTAGATAAGGACATGGAATAAGAGATATCATTGCTGACGTTAGATGAATCTTGGCAGAAAGTAGAGAATACCAGAAAGGTGTTTACCTGTGCTTTACTGAGTTTGTAAAGGTTTTTGACTGTGTGGATCATGACAAACTGAGTACAACATTGTGAAGAATGAGGATTCTGGAATATTTATTATGCTCATGAGTAACCGATATGTACATAAATCAACATGCAGTCATTCAAACAGAACAAGGGGGCATGAAATGGCTTAAAATCAAGAAAGATGTGTGTCAGGTTTGTATTATTTCATCATATTTATTCAATTTGTATTATTAGCAAATAATCTGAGAAGCTAGATTATATGAAGAAGAATGTGACATCAGGATTGGAGGAACCTGAGATATGCAGATGATACAATCATGCTTGTTGGAAGTGAGGAAGATTTAAAATATTTATTGATGAAGATCAAATACCACAGTCTTTGTTATGGGTTGCATCTCAATGTAAAGAAAACAAAAATCCTCACAACTGGTGCAA